AAACCTTTCTCCGATTGGCTGGATGCTTGAGATGGTGACCTCACTGTCTTTAGGCTCCTCTTTTTCCAGAGCCCAGGAAGAGAACGAGGATCCTCCATCATTGTCCCACCGTGAACCAAAGCTGTCTCCTGATGTGAAAGGGTTGTCCTTGTACCTGAGATCACAATGATTCATACAAATTACACATATGCATACACTCACATTTACAAATGCTGTCCGTCACAAACATACTTTGGTGGTCCAGAGGTGAACCCGGGCTCATCAAACATGTCCAGCTTAGAGCGAGAAGAGGACTTGACTCTGACCGGGGTCTCCTGCTCGATCACCTGCATTTCAGCCATCACGGAATGAGACACGGCACTGCGGAAAATCAAAGTCACATCATATCAGCCGAATGTACAATAAAATGAACAAAACCAACAACCAGACACACATCGCTCAGCATTCTGGGTTATTAATCTGCTGCAGACATTGATGTCATGCTTGAGGGGAGTGATGTAATTAATGTGACAGTGGTTTAATCGAGGTTACCGCCGTGTCTTTACCTCCTGTTGCCGAATCCCATGCCCAGCCTCTCCGCCTGTTCCTTCTTCTTGCCCTCTAGGTTCTTCAGTTTCTTCTCCTCCATCTTCCTGTCAATCTCCAGCTCTTTGTAGGCCAGTCGCATCGAGGCCACTCTGTGAGAAAGGAGGGAATGCAACCAGGGAAAAAAACTGCTGAAGCTATAGCTCTGATTGCACTGTTAGAGGAGCCATCGTCTTACTCGAACATACACTTGACCATTCAATAGACTCGAATCAAAATCTTTGAAGAAAAAAGATATTTTACAGCATCTGCAAATGGAATTTGTGGCATCTGGAGACTCACATGGAGTCTTCGGCTTGTTTCTTGGTCTCAGTGGCCTGTTCCGCTCTCATTTTCTCTGCCACCTGAGCTTGTTTTTCCACCTCAGTGAAGCTCTTGCTGCTCACCTTCTGGGCACCAAGACCCTTTTTAGCGCCAAGCTAAAATCAAAATGATAACAGTGTAAAGACATTTATTTATAACATTTTGAACAAAGTAGCACCTGCAAACATAACCATGAGTTTTGACAACAATATATGCTTCTACAGATGGTTTATAATTAATAGGTGATTATCAGGTGATTCATTTTTTCTAGGGTTGGCCACCCCACTCACAACTGCTGCTTCGGTCTCTTTT